GGCAAATGGAATCACGGTGAGACAGGGATCAGGCAGCCCCACGCCAGGCAGCGTTTTTGCCTCTGAGAGCTCCTCTGAGCTGAGTGAGCTGGTGAATCCTGCGGAGCAAATGAGACCTGGGAGTGAGGGAAGGGCTGGCTGGGAAGGAGTCAGATAAACCTGTGTGGGCATTTCCCTTTTCAAGGGGCTCCTGGAGAGACAAAGGAGACAAGAAGGATGTCCCATCTCATGACATTTCCTGGAATATGCGTTTGTGGTGGCCTTGGCAGTGTTAGTGGTCTCAGGTTTTTGGGAGGACTCTGTGATCTTAAAGGTCTTTTCCAATGGAAACGGTTCTGCAATTCTAAACTTCCATTCCTGCTTTTGAAGGATACGGTCTCAAATAGACCCCCATTTATGTTTTTAAGGAATTTAGCATCTACCTTTCCTTGAAAGTAAGAGGAATCAGGCTATAAATGCTCTCAAAACACTTTGATTCCTTGCTCTTAAGCTGTGTGTTTGAATTGAGGTGCCTTTTTGAGCATGGGATAAATGCAGGAAATTCAGCTGCAATGGCACTTGTTTCATCTGCTTTTCTTCTTCCTTTCCTCATGGGTGGTTGATTTGGGAGTATTTGTCTTGTACTTTGAGTTCCAGCTTAGACTTGCTCATGGATGTGCTGTAAAATCCTATTTACCCCTTTCTACAAAAAAATGCTTGCAGACTGGTGGGAATTGCTAGAGACAAGGCTTGCGAACCAATCCCCAGTATGATTAGCCCAGTGTCCCTGCTTAAATCCAGGTATGCTTGTATTACAAAGGAGTGAACTATTCTAAGTCACTGACCCCTTCCCCCTTTTTTTTTCTTGTAGCTCTTGGGGCAATTCCTGTGTGCCATTAGAATTCTTTGTTATCAAATGTGTGAAGGCATGATGCTGCTGTAGCAGCAGCCTGAGTTTTGTGAGAACATGTCCAAAGCACTGGGTCCCACAGCAGAGGGCACAGTGGGAGGCTTGCCTCTGCTGCCATGGCCATGCAGCCATGGGGAGAGCAGCTGCTGGGGCTTCCCCGATTCTGCCAACAGCACTCTGCCTCCAGCATGTGGACTCTATGGCCATGATTTTGACAGAATGTGGAAAATGCGCCATTTGAATGTATTGTGATGGTGTCTGACACCACCTGACTGGAGCAGTTTGGTAGGCAGGACGCCCTGTGGGCAGGGCCGTGGCAGGGATTGGTGGCTGGCACTGGCACTGGCAGTGTTATTTTTCCAGACAGGCTCCTGGTACAGCTGTGGGGAGGGCACCAGCAGCTGTATCAGCCCAGGGAGCAGCAGCACATGGAGGAGACCCTCATCTGCAAAGAGACCATCACCCCCTTTGCTCCCTCCATGGCAGCGCAATATGATTCCGCCACAGGTGAAGGGCTGCAGCAGGGCTGGAGGCTCCTTCAGCCAGGACTTGTTGCAATCTCCTTGCTGCAGCTGTGCCTGGAGGATGTTGGCCTGCAGCGGTGCTGCCGATGCCCAGGAATGCTGCCCGGCCCAGAGAGGCAGAGTGTACAAAAGCTGCATTCAAAGCGCTGATCGCGAGACCCTGGAGCCGCTGGCAAGTGCAGCAGCTCTCCTTCATTCCGTGCAGGTGAGACCCCAGCCTTGGAGCCTGTCCCTGGGGACAGGGAAATGCTCTGAGTATAGTTTTGAATTTTCAGGGACAGCCCAAATTAGAATTGTTTTGAGGCAGGAGTTGTAATGTTGGGTTAGGTGTGTCTGCAGGAAAGACAGTGGGAATAAATGAAGGAGAATTTTGCATGGCAAATTTACACTCTACAGTTACACTGATTGCATTGGCCCACTGCATACTGGGGGCATCTAATGCAGAGTGCAAAGCTTCTTTGAATAGATAGGAGAGAGGAGGCTTGAAGAAATGATTTTGCAGATGCAGAAAAAGGGATCAGACCTATGGGTCCCATGGCTCAGGCTTAGTTGTGCGAAAGCATGCACGATTAATTTTATCCGCTCTGTTGGAAAGTACTTCAGAAGGACCTGCCTATTGTGCTATTTCCATGAAGAAAATTTTAAATTGTCAGGAACTGCCAAGATCAGAAATGTTTTGAGGCAGATCATGTTTATGTTGGATTTGGGTGTCTCTGCAATAAAGAAAGCATGGAATAAACCCCTGGAACAATGAAGCAGAGCAAAAGTGGAACGTTTGGATGGTCAATTTGTTCCCTACAGCTATTGGCCAACTGAATTCTGGGGTCCTGTACAGGGGAGTGCAAAGCTTCTTTGACTTCCAGCACAGAACTAAAGGCCTTGAAAAGTAGCTTTGGAAAGGGTCTACTACCTGGACAGTGTGAAACCCTCAGGCCTGGCCTGGCTGGGCTTAGGGCTGGCTGCCCTTGGGAATGGAAGAGAAGGAAAAGGGATGGAGTTGGGGTGGGGTTTTGCAGCCATGGAAACGAGAGAACCACTGGTGAACGCATCACAAAGGGGCAGCCCCACACTGGCGTTGTGACAGTTGTGGTTGACACGGCCACAGCGGCAGGAGACGCATCTGGCTCTGCCTCTCTGTGCCCAGCGCTGGCGATTGGAGTCACCCGACCTTGTTCCAAGGCTGGGTACCAAGCTCCCGTCGCTGTCTACTCTGAGAGCGTTCCCAAATCCAAACCCAGACACTTCTGCGAGGCAGAAGCACGGGTTCAAACATGGATTTTACTGGAAAAGGAAAGACCACGGCAGGAAAAGGTGAGGATAGAAAGGAGCTGAAAGCCCCGAGCCAAATGGAAAAAAATCCCACCAGATTTCAGGGAAAACTGGTCCCTGATGGTCAGTGCTGGCTCTGTGTCAGAGTAGGTGACTGACAGATACAAATGATCCTGCAGGGATGCCCATGGCATCACAACATTCTGTTGTTAGTTTACTCTGTTTTCTCCTTTTGACAGTAGCCAAATCACCAGTATTGACAGCCAGGACAGGGACTGTGGCCAAAGCTGACCACAGATTGGACATGGTCATGAGATGCAAGTCCTGTTGCTTTCATTGCCATCAATGTTGGGTCTCACTACAGATAAATTTCCCCTTCTTCCTCTGCTTGCTGATCGGGTCCAACCCTGAGGATGGTATTACGGTGCTACAGAAACACCACTAAGACCTGCCTGCTTGCTGAGAAGTCTTTGTGGTTTGCAGAACTAGCAGTCACAGCTGTGTGGGTTTTTCCTGTGGATTCACAAGCCAGCCTAAAGAAGGAATCTTTTTTCCCCTCTTATCATTGGAGCCTTCCACGTTTCCCTTCAGACTAGCTAACTCAGTGCTGCTCAAAGGAATTAAATGCAGGCGAGTTCCATGAATAATAAAACCAAAGAAATTTCCTCAATAATTAAAAATTATTCCCCTTGAGTGCCACACCCATTAGATGTGTTGAGGATAAAGGTGGGAGTTCAGCTAACTCACTTCTTCCCTTGTGAGCATGGCTCAGCCTCACACAGAGGTGAGGGGGGAGCTGGGCCGCTCTCTGGTGGGAGGAAGGGTCCTGTGGCAGCCCAGAGAGCCTGTGCACATTGCCAGGGAACAGCTGTGCCCTGCATGTGCCCCTGCAATGAGCTGTGCTCTGCCAGAGCCCCTGGAGCTGTAGGGCTGCTCAGCCGTGGGGCAGGGAGAGGAGCAGGAGGGTGCATGTGCAGCTGAGCCATTCCTGGGAAGCACAGGGCTCTGGGCTCCTGCTGTCCCAGGGCAGCCCAGAGGCCAGGCTGTTCCTGTGGCAGCCCTGTGCAAGTGGGTCAGGGCTTTCCCCTGGCCTGCTCAAGTGTCTGCTGGCAGGAGCACGTTTCCCTGTGCAGCTGTTTAGAAATTGGCAGGAAATGTGTCCCATGAAATATGGAGCTCCAGATGCTTTAGGTTTGCATTGCTGCCTCTGTTAAACTTTGTGTGTCCACTTTGCAGGCCTGACTGGCTACCCTCTGGCCAAGAGGCTTTCCCTGGCAAGACCCTCTATGCTCCTTCCTTCCAAGCCGTTGCCTCCCATTCAGAAGAGCTCTCCTTCTACCAAGACCACCCAGATATTCAGCGGAGAGCAGGAGAATGGGAAAAATGGCAACAGCTATGATGAGAAAAGTAGAAAAATACAGGAGCTGAGTTCAGAGGGAACAGGATATAAGGTAAAGGGGACCAAGTTAAGTCCTGTGTGGTAAATTTTCAGTTTATGTGCCGTCAGCAGAGGTCTCAGACCTTTTCCTAGACAGGAACTGACCCTGTCTCTGAAGTTTGAACAGGTCCTGATTTGGCTCTTTAGCTGGGCCAGAAATGATGGGATATGAAGGAAAGGTGTGCATCTGCCCCTGCTGCCTCCACCCCCATTCCTGGCCATGGCATGGGGGCCCTGGAGGAACTTGGGCAGGCTGAGACCTTCCAGAGAGCAGCAGGGCAGGGAGCTCTGCTGAATTTCCTAAATGCCAGTGAGCCTGAGAAGATGGATGTGTGGGAGCGGGAGAGCAGGGAGCACCCTGAGAGCTCAGCAGCATCTGGGCTCAAAGGCTGCTGGGGAACTGCAGGAGGGAAGGGCAGCAGCAGAAGAACTGAGAGGCTTGAGAAAAGCAGGTTTTGACATGCTGCAGAGTGGCTTTGTGGGGACTTGGCTGGAGATCAGCACTGGCTGTTCGGTACCTTAGGGGCAGGGAGAGAACAGTGATCCAAAGCCACTCCCATGCCATCCAAAAGGCCAGAGGAGGCAGTGGCACCTCAGAACATTGAACGTCTTGATGTCAAACATGTGAATGCCAGCTGGGAATGCAGCCATGCCTGGAGAAAACTGAGCACAAGGGGAGAGGTGGCAAATATGTGACAGGGGCTGTCCCTCACCACATCCCTTCCCTAGGTCACCTTTCCCTGTCCTAGGCCAAGCTGCTCCATACATTTGACTTTTCCTGCCAGGTCCCAGTTAAATGCATGGCTAATTGTCTTGAGGCATGAGTGGAGGCAAGGCTGGATGCTTGACCTGAGCACTGTGTTCTACTCTTTCCAGACGTCCTTGCTGTATTCCAGTGGGGAGGATATGGAGAAGGGGTCATTGGGACCACCTTTGATCCCCCCCATACGCAAGGCAGTAAGTCCCCCTCTTGGCAGTGCTGCGGGGTCTCTGCAGAGCTCTCTGCAGCTGGAATTCCAGGAGTCCCAGGAGACGAGGTAAGCCAAGGTGTCTGCTGCTGCAGTGTGCTGTTCACCTCCCTCTTCCCATCTCACGTGGTTCTATTGCACAGTCAGGTGTCCCATGTATTTAGGCAAACCTCTGAGTATTCACCATTTTGCCCATCCATGAGGATCCAGCACAATGTGGCAGCCAACACCAATGTCCCAAGAGCAGAGGTGGTGGTGGGGAGGAGGAGGCAGGGCTTCAAAGCACCTCAGTCTGGGTCCTCTGCTGGACTTGGCTATTGGTTCCCTCTGTAATGGTTGGGGTGTGTCCTGGTTCAGGGCAAATTTGGGAGACAACCTCCAAAGGGGTTTCTCTAGGAAGCAGATTCAACTGGCCCCTTCCCCCAGCTGGTTCAGGACAAAATATCTCCTTGGAGAAAAGTGGAAAAGACTCTTTATTAAACTAGAAAGCCTAAACCATATTAAACAATAAGACTTCTTTCCGCTCCAAAAGAGAGGCAAACTCAGAAAAATCCCCCGCCCCGGGCTGAAGCTCAGCTCACTCAGTCTCTTATCAGTCCCTCCAGCGCTGGAAGTGCCGCAGCCCTGGCCCAGCCCGCAGGGCCACAAGGTGCGAGCTGCCACTGCTCTTCTGGGTGTTCAGTCCAGAGCAGGCTTGTACAGGTCCAAAGAAAAGGGAAAAAAATCTCAGCCCAGGGAACTTCTTTGCCTCAGCTAGCTAAAACTAACTAAAAGCAAAGGAGAGCTCTGTCCCGCCGTTGGTCTGTCCGCAGACAACACAGTCCAGGAGCAGGAATGTGGAGGAGTGAGTGCAGTTTCTGAAAACAAACTCCACACTTCTTCTCCCCCCATTTCACTCCTGGAACAAGGCTTAAAGGTCCAAAACTTATTATTCAGCATAAAAAGAACTGATGATTGGGGATAAAAGCATCATATAGACAACCCAGGACAGGGTGTCATTTGGGAACTGTGGTGCATGGGTCTGGATCCGGCAGATCTCTGAATGCTGTGATCCTTGACTGTCAACTTCTGATCCTACAAGATTATGAGTGGGCAAATACAGGCTACTGGAGAGGTGTCTGCAAATTCAGATGCTGCTTCTGTAATCATCGGGTGTAACTTCATTGTGCCTGGGCCTCCACTGTGAAATGAGATCCCAGATAAATTTTGGGGTATAGATGTATAATATGATGGATGTTTAATATTTTGATTGACGCTTAAGACCAAAAAGCGCAAGGCACGAGAGAAGTGTTACAGGACTGTATCTGATGGAAAGATATTGGCTTGGATATGAGTGAGAAAATGTAGCTGTCAAGCTTATCCGAGTGCTAACAATAAAGAAAGAGACACAGATGTATCATTCCAATAGAAAATCTTTGGTAGGGCTTTTAAAGTGCAATCTGAATACCCTGCCCTAGCAGCTGAGTTGGAAAAAGCCTTTTTGTTGTTGAAAGCGCCAGGAGGTGTAACATAATTTGCAGGAGACAGCAGGGCTCAGCTGAGCAGCTCGTGCTGTTTCAGAGAGGCTGTAGGAGCCCCTTGGCTCCAAAAGGAGAGACAGCAGAATTGGGGAGTTATGATGCAAGTGGAAGAATGACTGCTGGTGGTGGGGAAGAGGTGGCAGGGCTTCAAAGCACCTCAGTCTGGGTCCTCTGCTGAACTTGGCTATTGATTCACACAGAGCTTGGCCAGCTCTGTGTGACTCCTGCAATGGAAAGCTTTAGGACAATGAATTAGCTCTGCATCCTGTTGTGTTCATGTGTTGCATTTCCTCCTTCATCAGAGTGACCATGCTAAGAGGGTTTGCCTCCTTTCATGATGCACCCATTCCCTGCATTCTCTTTTTACCTCCTCATATGTTCTTTTGTCCTCCATTTTCTCCAGCCCAACATGCAGCAGCAGAAGCAAGGAGGAGAAGTGTGAACATGCAGGTAGGTACAGTGCATGTCTGTCCTTAAATGGCCATTGTAGTCTTGACTCATAGGTGACATTTGGAAAGCTTGGTTAAAACCCATTCTTTTTAACATTTCTTTAAATTTGTTTCAATTCCTTGATGGGCTCAGTGGACTCTCCCAGAGCCCAGTTACTGGGAGTGTTCTCTGGTGGTGCAGTGAAAATTCCTCCTCTTTGCAGGCGTGACTAGTTCCTTTTTTTCCAAGTCTTTCCGGCGGTTTCCCTCTTCACTCCTTCCCTCCAAGCCATTGCCTCCCATCTCGAAGATCTCTCCTTCTTCTAACACTAATAAAATGTCTGTTGTGGAGAAAGAGAATAAGGAAACTGGCACTGGCTATGATGACGACTGTAGAAAAATCCAGGAGCAGAGTTCAGAAGGAAAAAGTTATAAGGTAAGGAGACCAAACTGTGTTCTGTGTGGTAAATTTTCAGTTTATGCACTGAAGGCAGAGCTTGGAGACCTTTTCCTGTGGTGTGAGCCCAGGGAAGCAGTTGAGCCAAAGGAGAGCTCAGCTGGACACTGCGCTCCAGGCTGTCTCTGCAATGGGTGTGTAGTGCAGACTCCTCGTCCTCAGTGTGTCTCAATAGCAGGAGAGGTCTTTGAATGGTTTCTGGGCCCTGTCCTGGTTCCTCCTCTGTCTTATGGCTGAGAAAACACCAACAAGCAGTCAGAGCAGCTAACGTTGTCCAATCTGGACAAGCTATCCTTCTGGATTTAGTAAACCTACAGGCATCTGTGAACCATGTCCATATCTTCGTGGTGGTGTTTTCTGTCAGCTGTGTCTGGTTTGGATGGAAAAAGATGTTTTCTGGAACAGGCAGTCCTGCAAAGTCAGGTCCAGGTTGTCTCAGCTTTTGAGCTGTACAGCCATACCCTCTGCACAGTTGTCTCTGCTGCTATTTCTAGAGTTCATCAGCTTCTGGGCAGCTGTGTGCTCTGGTATGGCTTTGTCCAGAGGGAAGGGATGGGAGGTGGCCATGGGGAGAGCAGCCCAGAGCCCAGCCACACGATTGCCTTTGCAGCAGGGCCAGGACATGCTGTTGTTTTGGGTTTGCCGTGGGAGGCAGGAGGAGGCAGATGAACAACAGCTTTTGCAAATAAAATGTCCAATCAAAGGTTTGGGTACTTGATTTGAGCATTGCTGAGAAAGGGCCCAGTGTATCCCTGACAGGAACTGACCCTGTCTCTGAAGTTTTTGAACAGGTCCTGATTTGGCTCTTTAGCTGGGCCAGAAATGATGGGATATGAAGGAAAGGTGTGCATCTGCCCCTGCTGCCTCCACCCCCATTCCTGGCCATGGCATGGGGGCCCTGGAGGAACTTGGGCAGGCTGAGACCTTCCAGAGAGCAGCAGGGCAGGGAGCTCTGCTGAATTTCCTAAATGCCAGTGAGCCTGAGAAGATGGATGTGTGGGAGCGGGAGAGCAGGGAGCACCCTGAGAGCTCAGCAGCATCTGGGCTCAAAGGCTGCTGGGGAACTGCAGGAGGGAAGGGCAGCAGCAGAAGAACTGAGAGGCTTGAGAAAAGCAGGTTTTGACATGCTGCAGAGTGGCTTTGTGGGGACTTGGCTGGAGATCAGCACTGGCTGTTCGGTACCTTAGGGGCAGGGAGAGAACAGTGATCCAAAGCCACTCCCATGCCATCCAAAAGGCCAGAGGAGGCAGTGGCACCTCAGAACATTGAAGGGCTTGATGTCAAACATGTGAATGCCAGCTGGGAATGCAGCCACTCTTGGAGAAAACTGAGCACAAGGGGAGAGGTGGCAAATATGTGACAGGGGCTGTCCCTCACCACATCCCTTCCCTAGGTCACCTTTCCCTGTCCTAGGCCAAGCTACTCCATACATTTGACTTTTCCTGCCAGGTCCCAGTGAAATGCATGGCTAATTGTCTTGAGGCATGAGTGGAGGCAAGGCTGGATGCTTGATCTGAGCACTGTGTTCTACTCTTTCCAGACGTCCTTGCTGTATTCCAGTGGGGAGGATATGGAGAAGGGGTCATTGGGACCACCTTTGATCCCCCCCATACGCAAGGCAGTAAGTCCCCCTCTTGGCAGTGCTGCGGGGTCTCTGCAAAGCTCTCTGCAGCTGGAATTCCAGGAGTCCCAGGAGACGAGGTAAGCCAAGGTGTCTGCTGCTGCAGTGTGCTGTTCACCTCCCTCTTCCCATCTCACGTGGCTCTATTGCACAGTCAGGTGTCCCATGTATTTAGGCAAACCTCTGAGTATTCACCATTTTGCCCATCCATGAGGATCCAGCACAATGTGGCAGCCAACACCAATGTCCCAAGAGCAGAGGTGGTCGTGGGGAAGAGGTGGCAGGGCTTCAAAGCACCTCAATCTGGGTCCTCTGCTGAACTTGGCTATTGTTTCACACAGAGCTTGGCCAGCTCTGTGTGACTCCTGCAATGGAAAGCTTAAGGACAATGAATTAGCTCTGCATCCTGTTGTGTTCATGTGTTGCATTTCCTCCTTCATCAGAGTGACCATGCTAAGAGGGTTTGCCTCCTTTCATGATGCACCCATTCCCTGCATTCTCTTTTTACCTCCTCATATGTTCTTTTGTCCTCCATTTTCTCCAGCCCAACATGCAGCAGCAGAAGCAAGGAGGGGAAGTGTGAACATGCAGGTAGGTACAGTGCATGTCTGTCCTAAAATGACCATTGTAGTCTTGACTCATAGGTGACATTTGGAAAACTTGGTTAAAACCCATTCTTTTTAACATCTCTTTAAATTTGTTTCAATTCCTTGATGGGCTCAGTGGACTCTCCCAGAGCCCAGTTACTGGGAATGTTCTCTGGTGGTGCAGTGAAAATTCCTCCAGTGTGAAGTTTTCAGTGGCAGGGGCTGGAGTGGTACCTTGTGGCCCTGGAAATGCAGTGCAGGATAAGGAAACATTTTTCTCCATCCTGCACATGCCTTTTGTCACCCTGTAGCTTTTCTAGTGTCACAATTAGTAGGGAAAATGAAGGTATTTAGCAAGAAATGAGAAATGATCCCACTCCATCCTCCTGCTTTTGAAGCAGGAAACCTTTGCTTGGGGCAATTTCTGAGCTGAACCCTTTGAGATCTGAAGGAGATTCATGGACATTTTCTGGTTTGGTATTGGCAGAAATAGGAAAACCTCATCTGACAGAATGTCCTTATAAATTTTCCAGTTAGGGAGAAAGAGCCTTCCAAATGGATGCAGCCTGTGCAAGGTCTGAGTTTGTCATCCTCTGAGAGCACAAGCCCAAAGGCACCTATGGCAGGCTGACGATGACAAATCTCTTCCCCATCTCTCTCTGCCTGTGTCAGTGTTGCAGGCTGAGGCTGGGGGAGGAGATGCCTTCTGCCTTGTCCTCCCTCCCTGCCTTGCGTGATCCCTGACAAGTGGAATTGTGACAGACAAAATGTGGTCTCTTGTGCATCTGGGTCAGCCAATGCTTTCGAGTTGAAAGCCTCAATGACACTGTTGTTGTTCCTCTGCTGTCTCTGGGTGTGTAATGATAGGAGAGATGAGACTTGAAGAAATAATTCTGCTGATGCAGAAAAAGGGATCAGATCCCCTCGTCCCTTTACTCACGGTTAGTTCTGCCAAATCCTGGATACGACCCCTTTGGAATGACTCCTTAATTGCTGATAGGCAGCTGGAATGCTAGGGTGTAGTATTGCTCAGTAGGTAAGGTGACATTTTTTCTGGATTAATTCTGGACTAGAAATGCCTCATCTCATTAAACCTTACCTTTCTCACTTTTATTATTGACCCGAGTATTCTACAGCGTGAAGGAATCCAGTTTTAAGACAGGTATTGCTCTCGTACTGCTTGGCTGCCATATGAATTTATCCTCTGTGAAGCCATGTAAAGAATTACTTCTCTTAGTTCTCACAGCTCTGCTGGAGAGCATTTCAGAATGACCTGCCCTCTGCTATTATTTCTATTAAGGAAATTTTGAATTTTCTGTATTAGCCAAGATCAGAAATGTTTTGAGGCATGTCATGTTTATGCTGGCTTTGGGTGTCTCTGCTGAAAAGCAAGCAGAGAATAACCCCCCGGAACAAGTAAGGAGAGCAAAAGTAGAACTTTTGGATGACCGCTTTGTTCCCTTCAAATACAGGCTCACAGAGTACTGGGCACATCTGATGGAGAAAGCAGAGCTTCTTTTAGATCTAACACATGGTGCCATTGTTTGTGTCCCAGCACTTCCTTTGTTCTAAAGAGTGACATAAAAATCCCCAAAGTATCAAAACCCAACCTAGAATTGAGTGGGACATGCAGAAACAAAAACGTTGAAAACTACTTTTGGAAGCAATCACTTCCTTGACAGTGTCAGATCCTAGAGACCACTGTGAATTTCCAACAGTTTGGAAGGAAAGGGATCCTGTAGTAGTGGGGAGGCAAGGGCAACACATGAAGTAGTAGAACCCTCCTCTCCTGGCTTGACAGCTCCATATTGTTCAGAGAAATTAAATGGATCCTAGTTTCATGAAAAATACAAAAACAACCAATCTTTTCAGTTACTAAAATACACTTTGAAGTCCTCACCCATTAGATGGGTGGATTGTAAGGGGTGAGTTCAATGAACTCACTTCTTCTCTTGTACCTGAATTACAGCTTCTTCTGAGTCTACAAGAAAAGCCCAGAGGAAGAAGGGAAAGAGCTCTTGCTGTAAGCTAGGACCTGGGATGCCTCTGCTCCCAAGGAAACTCGCTGACCTGTTTGGCTTGGAGAGTCGTGTGCCCAACCTCGGCCTTGGCAATGGAGGTCTCGGCCCCCGGCCGGCTCAGGGGGCCTTGGCCCAGGAGCCTCAGCAGAGGCCACCGAGCAGCGCTGGCCCCAGGGTCACTGCCGGGGAGGACAAGGGGAAGGCTGAGCATGGCTCAGCCTCACACAGAGGTGAGGGGGGAGCTGGGCCGCTCTCTGGTGGGAGGAAGGGTCCTGTGGCAGCCCAGAGAGCCTGTGCACATTGCCAGGGAACAGCTGTGCCCTGCATGTGCCCTGCAATGAGCTGTGCTCTGCCAGAGCCCCTGGAGCTGTAGGGCTGCTCAGCCGTGGGGCAGGGAGAGGAGCAGGAGGGTGCATGTGCAGCTGAGCCATTCCTGGGAAGCACAGGGCTCTGGGCTCCTGCTGTCCCAGGGCAGCCCAGAGGCCAGGCTGTTCCTGTGGCAGCCCTGTGCAAGTGGGTCAGGGCTTTCCCTTGGCCTGCCTCAAGTGTCTGCTGGCAGGAGCACGTTTCCCTGTGCAGCTGTTTAGAAATTGGCAGGAAATGTGTCCCATGAAATACAGAGCTCCAGATGCTTTAGGTTTGCATTGCAGCCTCTGTTCCATTTTGTGTATCCACTTTGCAGGCCTGACTGACTGCCATGGTCGCAAGGAGGTTACCCTGGGATCAGTAGTTTCCCTGCCAACTTTCCAGATGCTCTTACCCTGGGATCAGTAGTTTCCCTGCCAACTTCCCAGATGCTCTTACCTTCCAAGGCCTTGCCTTCCATCCAGAATTGCCCTCCCTCCTCAAAGCCCATATCTAACTCTCCTTTATTATTAAGCTGACCATTTTCCAAGGGCAAAAAAATCCTGATTTAAAACATTGGTTCTTTTCTACTGTGCTGCCACTTGATTTTATTCTCTGTGAAGCTGTTGTATAGAAGGATTAGTTCTCCAAATTTTAACAGCTCTGTTGAAGAGTATTCCAGAATGAGCTGCTTGCAATAAAAAATCCACCTTTAGTCAGGCTGGCCTGAAAGTGGCCCAATCTCATACAGTTTAGAATGAAAATCCTTGGGGAAAACAAATTATCTAGCGTCAAGAACACAGTTCACATTTGGGTATCGCTCCTGCAAGCCTAGACTTTTCTTTGAATGTCTTCTAACATATTCCAACAAAGAGAAGAAAATGTTGATCTAAATGCATACAGGTATTAGAAGCCAGGACTTTTAGGAACTGGAAAGAAGATGTTTACTAAAATCAGCATGAAGAAGGGCAGATAAGAATCTCTGTCAAGAGCAATCTCCATCTCTGCTCTTTATCAGACACAGAGGCTCTCCAGAATCCAGGGGCGGAGGCCTTTGTCATGCAGCAGGTTTCACTCTGCTGGCCAACAGAGTAATGTCATGGCCGCTAGCCCATCCCTTGGGAGAGGGCCTAGGCATTGTACCTTGCTGCTCTCAGTCACAATCTCTGTGTCTTCTGAGGGCTCTGCAATCTGGAACCTGTCTTGCCTGTAGCCCAGCATGGTGTTTTTGGGGGCTTGAAGTCTTCCAGAGATTTACACCAACCTTTGCTTTCATTACCAGGCCTCCCACTGAGCCGGGCCAAGGAGATGGATCACCCCAGCAGTCCTGGTCTTACGAGTGACAAAGACCTGAGGGACGGCTTTAGAAAGGTAAGGGATAAGGACAGGGATGAGCAGACTTCCTTTCCAGTGCCTGTTTAGTGCTTAGCCCAAAATGTCACTGAAAATCATCATCTTCCACTCCTGGAGCATGGGGATTCCCTTGGGAATATATTGGACAGTTACAGAGCAATTGCTTGGCTATTTCCAGTGGTGCCAAGGTCCCTGGTTTGGAGATGGTGCTAAAGTAATGCCAGAAGCATTCTTGATGTGCAAAGGCTGTTTCAGAGAAGTTCTGAATGACAGAGCAAGCTACACGTCAGTGCATGTAGGCAAAGTGCATCCTCAGAAGCAGAGAAGCAAAGATTCTAATATTGAGTGTAAGCAAGGCTGCGAATTAAAAGGGGAGAGTTTGATTTTTCCTGATTACCTTTCTGGCTGTATCTCACAGGCCTCTCGTTCTCAAGTTTTCTGCTCATTAGCATCAATGTTTCTGCAACTTGTTTTCACGTGACTCCTCTTTTTGGTCTCAGAGACCAAGTCCTTCAGAGTCCTTCAGAGCTGAGTCCTTCAGAAGCCAGGAAGGGAGAAACAGCTGCAATTCCTGGCCATGAGTGTTAAGCAACAGCTCATTAGCCCTCCTTGCTGGGTCTTGCACATGGTTTTTATTCTCCTGCCATGGCCTGTAGGAACTGAACTGCCTGCTCACTGGCCATGTGAGCTCTTCATCTGTCTTGCAGCACTCCTATGACTTTCATGCTTCAAGCAGGGCTTGCTGACATAGGTTGCAGTTGGAGCAGTGTAGGCTGTGGCACTGAAGTGTTCCACCTCACTGTGTGTAACTGCCAGGGTGAGGACGGGAGACATTCCTCTGAAACTACTGGAATGTGTATGGAGCTGCACTGAAGCCTGTGGCACTCTATGGACTCTGTGCTCAGGATGAGATGTTGTGTCTGCTTTGTGTGTCTCTGCTTACAGTCTGTGATGTATTTCCATTGCAACTAGATCCGTGCTGCATTGTACATGTTGGCTCAGAAGAACTTAGAGCAGAAGGACATAGAGCTTTTGGAGAGAGAGATGAAGAAAAGGAGACAAAAGATAACATCCTTGCAGCTTCTTCCTGAGACAGTTGAGCCCGGGGATGCAGCTGAAACAAGTAAGTGGTGGCTGCACTTGTGGTCCTTTTTGACCACTTGCTTGCCCTTTGCACAGTGTTGCAGACTGGGGGACTGTTCCAGTTGCATCTGAGTGGAAGCTTGCGTACGATTGATTTCCATTTCCCAAAGAAAAATACAGAGGCATGAAGTGTATTGCCCATGGCCTCACTAAGTCAGTGACAGAATATCGGCTTTCCACCTTCACCTCTAAAGTCTTTCAGAGTAGAAAATTCTGTCTTGCAAAGTACACTGGAGCTTCAGACTCTCTCCTGGAGAGCAGCCTCCAGGGAAGGTGAGCCCAAAAGAATGCTTTTCAACCAGGGTGCAACCTGGAAGCAAGAAAATCCAACTCCTTCTAATGAAAACACCAGAGATCCTTCTCTGACCACTCCCTGCTGAGGAGCTGGTGCTGTGGAGCTGTGCTGAAGCCCCGAGGCAGTGTTCTGTTGTAGCCCCAGGAGCAATTCCCTGAATCCCGCCTGAGGGGCTCTGACTGCAGGGCTGTGAGCGCTGCCCCGAGGGCGGCAGCAGGGCCCTCAGGAGGCTGCACTCAGCCCGAGGGCATCACGCAAGGTTATCTGCACTTTCTTTTGGTAACTTCCCCTGCCAGCCTCTGAAACAGGAGAACAAAAGCAAAGCAATACTGGTTTTCCTTGTTTCTTAGGGGAAGCATCACTGCAGTTTGGTTTTAAGCTAGAAGAGGATTGATTTAGATTAGATATTAGGGAGAATTTTTTTTATAATGAAAGGGATGAAAAGCTGGAAGGGTTTGCCCAGAGCAGCTGTTGCTGGTCCATCCTTGAAGATGTTCAAGGCCAGTTTACATGGGGCTCTGAGGAGGCTGATCTAGATGAAGATGTCCCTGCTCACAGGGACTGGACTAGGTGGTGCTTAAAGGTGCCTTCCAACCCAAACTCTTCTAGGATTCTGTGATCATTGTCCCATGTTAGTGTTATACTTGGGATAGAGTGGTATACCATTGTTACACTTGAAGTTCTTTGGGATAACAAAGAGATGTTCTCCAGCTCTGGCAAGTTTTCTGGTGCTTTCCATCATCACCCTGTCCAGCGCCTTCCTCCTACAAGCTCCTCTTTGGTCCCTGCAGGCTTTAGCCTCCCACCTGCTGATGGCACAGCTTCTAGAGTGCAGAGAAACCACCCTGGTAGTAGCTTGAAGAAGGTCTTGAGGATGCAGGACAATGTGCCCTTACTGCCCAACATGCCCATCATCCATGCCGTTGGCAGCTTCCCACACAACTCCTCAGGTAAGCCTGCTCCATGACAGCTTTCTCCTGCACGGGTTTTTCCTTGCACAAGGAGCACAAACTGCCTCCTGCCTCAGCCAGCACAGCTGGGATCTTGGGTCCATAGCCTGTCCTGAGAATGAACAGCAAATCTACTTCTGAGTTACTCCAGCTTGGTAGTACTGGAGCAGTTGGTTCTTAGAGATCCGCTGGAAAGTTGAGCTGAATAAAGTAGTGTAATGGCCTGATCTCTGGCTTTTGCCCATCCTGATAGTCCAAACTAGAGCACTGGGGCCAGGAGGCAGCTGTGCCTGCAGGGATGAGCTGCAGGGCAGTCTGCCAGGGTGTGCTCACTGTGCTCCTACGAGAACCACCAGAATCAGTTGTCCACTCACCATCTGGGCCCTCTGCCTGTGCTGCTGTCCAGTTCTGCAGCCAGCTTTTCTGCTATCCCAGCAAGGGCTGTCTCTGCATGGCCGTCAGCGGCTCGGTGCAGTCGTGCTGCTGCTCCCAGAAGTGCCCGATGGCTCCTTGCTGCCACCATCCCACGGCCTGCAATGCCAGGAGGGAACAAGCAGTGCCTCCTGTGCCACCCAGCAAACACAGCGGCTGTGTGCAGCAGATGACAGGCAGGAAGGGCTGCCTGCTGCTCCCAGGCTGTTGGCTGCCTGCTGTAAATACTCAGCAGATCGTCCCTAGTGGCTCCTGTCTCTCCTTTGTGGGTAGCCTGCCTGTGCTGTGATCCCAAGTAGGGTGAGATAAGAAGGAAGCTAGGAATGATACTTGGAATGCTCTTTTCTAGTGATGGTGCTTCCATGTTCAGGATTGACCAGAACTAGCCTGACCTGGCTCTCCATCCATAGTGAATCTAGATGTGTGTGTCTACATACTTCTGCAGTGCCATCACTGGTGTCAGTGGCTGGGGTACCTCAGTGACATCCAGACTAGCTCCCGTCTGAATATTTTTGATATTATCATTCCTCCATACATTGTGAGAACATGCAAGGGAGCACAAAAACCCTATGGGGTCTAGAGCAGTTCATCTGGATTCCGTGCAATATCCCACAGAATATTGCACAGAATATACTCCATCATTTTAGACAGAGCAAATGTTTTCATCTACACATTAGAAAATGAGATTTTGAGTGCATGACATGAAATTTTTGATTGACAGTGCTTTTGATGATAAATGGGTTTCATGAGAAATGCATTTATCATCTGATTTTTCTCACACCTTGTAAATTTCCTTCAAAAAAATTCAATTAAGGCAAACCCAGGTCAACTGATTAACAAGAGAGTTCTTCTGCCAGCAATGTGGATCTGTATTTGAATATTCTTATCCTCAGAGTGCATTTGGAAGGTTTTTTTTATCAACTGTCTAGCCTGGAAATTGCATTTTTCCACAAGAGAAAGCTTAAAAACTGCTGAGTTTGCAAACACGTCCATTAGATGGCAAATAAATTTCACCTCAGCATCTTTTAAATACAGCCAGTGTGTAGCTCTGAAAGAGTAAAGATTCATGATGCTTGGAAAGAACAAAATCCATAAAGTAATCCCTTCGCAATAGCAGGCTAAAATGTATGTGCACTCAGCTGCCTGCTGTCTAGGATATTTGAGGTCAGTGGACGCAGAGGCGCTGTCAGTGGGAAGGGTCAGGTGTGGCTGTTCCCTGGTAGCTGCTCCGTGGGGATTGAGCCGGGCCCAGCAGGGCTGGGTTGTTCAGGCTTGGCTCGGTGCTGTGGCCAGGCAGCTGCAGGTCTCTCCTCAGGGAGTTGCAGAGTGCCCCATCCTCAGGGCTGGGGGAAATCAGGGCGCTGAGACAAGAGAGGCACCTGAGGGGCTCCCTCCTGGCCGGCCAGTCCTGCTGCCGGCCCTGTCTGGCAGGGAGCGGGAGCTCTGCGGCCGCAGGAACTGCCGCTGGCTGTGGCACCTGTGGCACTCGGAGCTGGCGCTGCGGGGCCATGGGCAGGTTTAGCCTGGAGCTGTGCCCAGCCGGGGAGGCTGGGGGAAAGCAAGGAGCCCAAGGTGCCCGACAGCAGGGAAGCCTCTGCCCCAGTGCCCGTGTGTGCCCGTGGAGCCCTGGCTGGGAGATGGCTGCAGGCCGCTCCATGGCGGGGTGCCCCGCCCGGGGCTGCAGCGCCCATGGCCGACCCTGTCCTTACAGTGACCTCGGAGATGGCCGCTGGTGCCCAGCGCCGAGAGCAGCCACGCCGTGGGACTGTGCAGAAGGACACGGCCTCTGCAGACCCACAGCAGTCCTTGCAGGAGGCACTGTCCTTGCTCGGCAGCGATGACTGGTAAGAAAGGCCCCGTTCACTCTGTGTCCCTCTTAGCCTTAAGGCTGGTTAGAAGTGAGTCTTGCTGGTGCCTCTGAGCCCCGAGAGCCCAGAGTGCCAAAGGGCACTGGTAAAACCATTGCAGAGCAGTGAGAGGATAAAGATTTGAGAGCAGCCTTTTCTCGGCCTTGCTCTGCAGCAGTGCTCCAGCTGCAGCAGGTCTGTGCTGTTTCCTCCATTTGCCTGCTGCTCCATGGGGCTGCAAAGGCAACCTTGAGAGTAGAGAGAAAGCTGTGGAATGAGATGATTTGCTGGCTGAAGGCAGAGCAGGATGACAGAAGTTCTGAGTGTGGAGATTTGGGTGCCGTGGGCCACTGGCCCAGTGGGACTGAGTAAGATTCCTCTCTGCTCCCACTGCTGCCAGCAATGGCAGGTGACAGGGTCTCCCTGTGACCTCCTGCTTGGCAGTCCCAGAAGCAGCTCCAGGGAGTTCCTCCAGGGACTTGTGCTTTCAAGTCCCTCAGCCTGTCATTACTCCTGAAGGGCTCATGGCAGAAGAGAAGGAAAAAGAAATAAAATCCTCTAAGAATCTTGTACTTTTGAATTCTACTTTTTCCTTCTCACTGCTTCATATGGGCCTGAGATGTTTTGTCAATACTCACCACGTGTCTTGAAATTATACACAGGCAGAAGGAGGCCCAGAGGTGATAACCCTCCAAATGATAGGTCATATTGGTTTTCCTTTTGATGTCTTTTTGATCACTCTCTGGTGGATGCTTCATTCACACAGGGTTAAGGACTCCATTCACACAGGGTTAAGGACTCCATTCACACTGGGATAAGCATGAAAAATCTGCCATGATGTATCTCCTCGTGCAGTCTCCTTTGTTTTGCCCTTTCTCTTCTGCTTTCTCTTCCCCATTTCTCTTTGGTGCCCTGAGAGGTGCAGAGAGCTCCTGCAGGTGTGGGGGGTCAGGATGACACTCAGGGGTGTCTGTGGGATCTGTCACCAGCCCTGTGCTGCAGCCCTGATGCCTCACAGACCTTCCTATAGCTGAGGGCCTGCGCAAAGCAAGTGCTGGGAGACAGAGTTGTTTGCACCTTTTAAATAACATGTTGCTGTTGTGGGGGTTGTTTTAGGTAGGGGGTTTTGGGAAAAGCCAGAGTTTCAACAGTTCTTGCCCAGGGGTGGTATCTTCTGGGACATCCTGCTGCTTTTTTGAGGAACGTGTGAGGTGGAGTGGAGGGGGTGACAGGGAGGCCTAGATTGCAGAGTGGAAACTCAGCTCCAGAGTGCCAGTTCAGACTCCCCCTGCGGAACTGCCTGCTGGGGCTGACAAAGAAGGAAAATGTCCCAGGAACAGCCCCATGGAACTGTGTCTCAGGGACAGGTACAGGGAGGTGACAAGAAACAGCAGCATGGTCCGGTCTCACAGCTTCTAGGAAGCAGTGACAGAGGGGCATCATGTGCCAGAGATTTCAGAAAGCTGTCTTCTTAAATGGCCACAGATGAAGACTCTGAAACGCCTCTAGTTGCCTCTTGGATCTGTGTATGCTTTTGACAGCCACAGTATCCTGTGGCTACGTGTTCCATGATTTCATGAAGTACTCCTTGAAAAGCACCTCCCATTGTTCAGCTGAGCTGCCAGCCTGGTCATTTCAGAGGGTGCTGCCTTGGTGGAGAGAAAAATCAATCTTTTGCCTTTCAGGGAGCTGAAGGAGAAGGGACTCTTCAACATCAAACACCTGGCCTGGTCCCATTCAGAGGTCCTGCTCTGTAGACTTCGTGACGTTTGCTTGGCAGTTACCAGCGAGGTGAGAACATTGTTCTGAATTGTCCCCCATGCTTCAGACATGGTGTGTAGAGTAGGTATGTGCTTCTTCATCTCCATGTGTGCTCAGGGTCTGCCTTCATTTCTGGTTTTAGACCTTCTGTTTCTAATGTCTGCCAGCTATCTGTAGGATCTGTGTGTACATGGAGCTGTATTTACTGTTAGGTTGGGTATCTGACACTCGTCTTTGAGTGAGGTGCCTTTATAATGCAATGTGCAAATGCAGAAATGGAGGCACTAATGACGTTTTTTGTCAGAGTCCCAGTCTCTGCCCAAGCTGTAATTCAGCAAATTAGTCTGTAGGTGTGTGCCTGTGTTTTCTGTTTCCTGGCTGAGTGCTTCAACTGCTGGTGTTGCTTTTTTGAGCTGGAGGACCTGACTCTTTTATCTTTATGACTTGTGCCTTTATGATTTGAAAGCAGCCCTTGCTTCAGTTTTCTAGTAAAAGGGCCTAAAATCGAAGCCATAGACATTTTAGAAGGGTGAAGTAGAACACTTTAGCGAAATTTTTTTTTTAGGCCTGCAGTATGCAGGTCTGAGGCCAGAAATTGGTGCCAGAGTAAGTGCTTTTCCGTGCTTGTGCTCTTCTGCCCTTATTGTACTTTTATGTTCCTCTGGACACAGCGGGATGTTGTCATTTCCTGGGACTTCTTTTGAAGGCAAGTGGTTTTCTTTTAAAGGTGATTCTTATGTTTCCCCTCATGACTTCCCCAGGTGACCAACCTCCATTCCAAGGTGTCCTACTCTGCAATCGTCACTCTGGGAGAGTTCTTTGCGACCTTGAAGAAGGACATGGACTCTGAAGTGGATGAGGCTGCTCGGGTCCTTCTCCAGATGGTGTGGAACTCCCCAGAATTTGTTCAGAAAGCAGCCTGTCAGGCCCTGGGGATCATGGTGGAGAATGTGACTCCTGCACGAGCAATGGCTGCTCTCATGGACATAGGAGTCAAGTAGGTTCTTCCTCTTTTAGTGATATTCTTCACCTTCTAGCGTGTGGGAGGGGGAAGGGATGAGAGAATGGGAATGGTGGGAGGGAAGGGTCCTGTATCCTGCATCTTCTGTGAATTCAGGGGCTTGATTCTCCGATCAACCTCATTTCTTTCCTCTTGTCACCTGTTTCTGCCCTCCTGCAGCCTATTAGTTCTCAGAATCACAGAAGGGTAGAATATGGACAGCTGGAAGGGGCCCATCAGGACCATTGAGTCCAGCTCCTGGCCTTGCACAGAACAGCCCAAGGGTCACACCAAGTGCCTGAGATAGTTGTCCAAGTGCTTCTTCAACTCTGTCAGGCTTGGTGCTGTGACCACTGCCCTGGGGAGCCTGTTCCAGTTCCCAACCACCCTCTGGGTGCAAAACCTTTCTCCTGATACCCAGACTAAAGCACCTCTGACTCAGCTTCCTGCTGCTTCCTGGAGCTCTCGCAGTCTGTCAGATTTTCCTAGAGGTGGTGACTGCTGGGGAAGTGAAAGTGCCTGCAAAGGCTAAGGATAGAGCCTTGTGCTTTTGTGGGAAGAGGGACAATTGCAATTGCAGCTGTCAGTGGTGTTTGATATTTCACAGCCCTAACCACAGAGGCCCTGGGAAAACCATGTCTCCTCATGATGCCATTACCTGGAGAAATAAGGAGGGTACTTGCTGAGGCGTGGAGCACATGGGGGAGAATCTGCTGGGTGTGGCAAAGCCTGCACAGCAGGTGCAGCTCCTGCCAAAAGGAGTCTTGTATGACTGTCCTGGCCATAGAACTCTACTTTCTATTCAAATTGGTGTTTCATTTTAGCCTTGACATGATGAATCACTTTAAAGGCACCTTCACAGGCCAACTGCCGTGGGACAGTTGAAGCAAATGCTGCCTTAAGTGTTGGTGCTGGGCTGATAGTTGCCAAGAGACACTTTCTCTAGAACAAGACAACCTGGCTAAACTGCCTGCCACCCTTTCCTCAGCTTTGGAATAGGGTAAAACATTCAGATGTTTCCCTTGCCAAGCCTCACAGAAGAAACAGGCTGCATTGCTGGATATTCTGCAACTTGACAGCCCACAACATGTTTTCCCTGCATTTGTTTTTTCCCAAAGGTCTGCAGATTTGGGGACAACCGGGTGGAAAGAGCCTCAATCCTGCTGCAGCTCTGTGTAGTGGGTGCCCTCTGATGGGTCAGAATTGTCCTTCATTTCTAAATAATTCATATGTAATCTATTTCTTTAATCTTTCTCAGAGTAAATACTGTGAAAGAAATGGAGTATCAGATGGTGCAGGGAGACTGAATTCCTCCCTCTTCCTTGCAGGCAGTCCTTCTGTACAATGCTAACGTTGTGTTTACCTGAGGACTGAACCTTCTACAGGTGTCTCAAGTTGCAGGGAGAAGCCAGGCCTCCTTCCCCCAGCAAGGACAGGGAGCAGGCTCTGGCCAAGGCCTGTGCTGCTCTTGCTCCTTCTCCCTGTGCCCAGGGTTTGCTCTCTTCTTCCCAGGAGCCGCCATGCCCAGGTGCGGAAGTGCTCGGCCAAACTCCTCCTGTCCTTGGTGGAGAGAATTGGAGTCACGAAGCTGGCAGGCACAGCCAGGGCTGAGAGGCTGGCACACGTGGCAGGGAAGCTTGCTCAGGACTGTCACCAGGACACAAGGTAATGATCTTCATTTCACCTCCTAAAAGCGGAAAATCTTTTTGTGTCTGGCTATAAAGGTAAAACCACAAAAGAGTGGGAAGTAAAGGAAATAGAAGTTGCCACACTGTGTGAATAAGGGTCAGAGCATCATGGAATATGCTGAGTTGGAAGGGACCCATCAGGGTCATCAAGTCCATCTCCTGGCTACGTGCAGGACACTCCAAGAGTCACTCCATGTGCTTGAGATCATTGTGCAAACGCTTCTTGAGTTCGGTGAGCCTTGGTGCTGTGCCCACTGCTCTGGGCTGCCTGGGAAATGACTGTAGTGGGTAACCTGAGGTTGGCCAGCAAAAAGGAGCATTGCCAACTTCCTGTGGCTTGAAGGATTCTTTACTGAGATCCAAAGAGCTCAGAGTAGCCAGTCCAACAGTTTTGTTTGGCCTTAGGTGCACAACACAAAGCCAAAGTGTTGACTAATGGTCATCACTGAAGGATCCCAAACATCTGTTTCTCATTAACTTAAGACTTTCCTAGAAATATTTCAGAGGTCTTTAGCCAACATATTCAGTCATTCTAAACCTGTTCTGCAGATTTCTACAATGCTGTTATCTGTGGCTCAGTGACCTCCAGATTTCTTTTGCAAGAAAATTGTGGTTTCCTAGTGACAAAATCAACCCAAACCACCAAAATCCTCTTACTTGGATGGTGAAATTCCCATTAATAGCTGCCAAGAACACCAGAGCAACTAGCTGTCCCTGTGCATACATATAGCATAGAATAATCAATAGGATGCATGAGGTGTTTTGTCCTGGCTTCCCTCCCAGTTAAAGAAGGGCAAATTATTGTGCAATGGCAGCAGGACACTGCTAATAGGCTCTGACAACACAGCAGATGTGTTTTGCTTGTTCCCTGGGATCTTTGATCCCACAGAAGCACACCCACAGTTTCAGAGGGAAATGGTATTTTTCTGTTGCTCCACCTTCTCTTGCCTCTTGTGCTCAGCTGACAGCACTGTGCAGTGTCAAGAGGAAGTACATCTCCCTCTTTGCTGAGTAGGTAATGCCTTCTCATGCAAGGATTGCACCTGTTGAGTTTAAGGTATCAGCCTCTACTGTTAACATTCTTCCTTTGTTTATTCACTTTTCCTTTGTGTCCTCCCTTCCTCCCTCCCTTCCTTCTGTCATTCCTTTCATCCTTCCTTAGGCATTATGGACAGGAGATGGTGAAGCTATTGCTCAATCATCAAAAATTTCAAAGGCTTTTGGAACAATTTCTTTCCACCTATGATCTGGAAGATATTCTGACAAGAATTAAGAAGAAAGTAAGTGCTTGGCAGGAGAAATGTCTCCTTTGTGCAAGTATTGCCACTGCTAATATGAGCTCAAACACAGCCAATCTGTCTTTATGTCATTCCTCTTGTGCTGAATCATTTTGCTCCGGGCAATGAGCTGTTAATCCTCAGCCTGTTCATCTGCAGACCACAAAGGAACTGATATAATTGGGGAAAAAGTGGGGTTTTGAATATTTTAAATATCGGTCACAAAGAGGAAAGGGAAAGAGGAGAAAATGGATTTATATTTAAGCGTAAGCCCCCCGCTGCAGTCTCCCTACTCTGCCCCCAGGAAAGCAATTAAGTGAGAATAGTGCTTCTGAAGATAACAGAGTCTCTGCAAAAGACACCCGAAGTAGTAGTACCAAGAAAATTTCCAAATCTACAAAAGATGTCCAAGTTAATCCTGGTTACTACAATTACTGTCTGTCTTTTGGGAATACTGCCCTGCTGTCAAGCCCTGTGGAACTGGAAGAAGCTTGGTGAATTCAGCAGCATCCAGTGGGAAATCCTTTGTTTGTTAAGGGGAGGATTTTATTTCTTTTAGTGACATTATAGAAGGGAGCGTGCCTTTGTGCAGGCCCAGGGAGAGTGAGTGTTGAACCAAACTGACTTCCAACCCAGTGGGCCAGCCCCCAAAGAGTCCAATTTTTTCTGTTGCTTCCTTTAAGAAAACCCGTTGCCTACCTGTTGCATTATTTCCATTTATGCTCAAGACTAATGAATTTGGGATTTTAGACTTCTGCTCAGTCTGGTAGCGCACATCACCTGCCTCGGGCTATTGAAAACAAAGAGTTGATATCACTGAATCTCTGGTCTGTTTCCATCTGTAAGTTAGGATATGTTTCCCTAAGCCTTGGTAGCAGTGATCCTGGTTCCAACTTGTGTTTTAAACAGGGAATCTCCAATTTTATATTCTAAAGATTGACGGGGTTTCTCTGCATCTTTGTAGGGGATGGAAAACCAGAGGGGTGAATGCCCATGTGTCAAGGAGCCGGTGAAGAAGAGGAACAATGGCTCGAAGAAGCCCCAGGCCACATTGTCTTCTGCTAAACGGTACTGAGCACTTCTGTTAGATGTGACAAAGAACATGACAAGCTTTACATGTCTCTTCCTCAGGAAAATCTTTCTGGCAGAGTGACTAGTTCCACAGATTGTTTCCTTTCCCTACAAATGGTCTATGCTAAAAAATGTCTACCTCTGCATTATGCTGAACACAATTTCAAAATTCAAACAGGGTTTTTTTTTTAATCTGAGTGGAGTCTTTTTGGGTGTTTTGATGAGAAGGCCCAGTCTAGAAGCAAGATGCCATTCCACAAAGATGCAGTTCTCATCCATGTGGTTTGGCCTGGCTGAATCATGGCTTTCTTACACTAAAACAGTATCAAGTTTGAGTAGTAAGTAGCAAGGCAATTCCTGAGCAACTTTGGTCAACAGGTGTCTCAATGTGGACTTTTTGTTTTGATATTCTTGTCCTTCATATAATTTGTTTGATGGACAGCATGTTTTGTTTTTTCATCTTGTGCAATCAGCATTCAAGACAGGAATTTGGTCCTTGCTGTCTCTTCTTGGCAGTTGCAGAGCTACTTGTGCCTGTTCTCTGATAACAGAGGGGATTTATTTAGCTCTGTCATGCTCAGCGGTGACAGGAAAGTGACCACATGCCTTAGTGGCATAGCTAGCATCTTCCCATGCTCATGGAAGAGACAGGTTGATCCAGGAGAATTGTTCCCAGTGGGGTTGTTAAGCTGTGGATCTAGTCTCTAGGGAAGCAAATGAAATGTGAGCGCAGTTCTGGGATGTCTGGCTTCTGTTTTTATCTCTGTTACTGATTTTCTGAATCATTCAAATATGGCCCTGTTCATCTGTTCAGATGCGTCTGAGCTATTTTTTCCAGATTGTTGTGCCAGGTTGTAGAGACACTTCTCCAGAGTGATGAGTTTTCCTTATTATAAGACACACACGTCCCATATGAGGAGGCATTTGAACTTGGAAGTAGCATCTCTCTTTCTCCACAAAGCAATGTGACCTGTGTGCCTTGGAAGCCATCTGAAGATAGATCAGATGCATCTCATCCTTGGTTTTCCTGAGTGAGGACTGGCGAGAATGTTACTTGCATATTGTCTCCCGTAGTGATTGGCATGAGGCCCATATTGTTCGTCAGAGCCTCATGATTTTCTAGCTTGAAATCACATAATTAGGAAAGCTCCTCAAGATGTTTTGCTCACAATTAACTGAAGGTGTTATCACCAACAGGTTCCTAATTTGGTTTTATTTGCCAGGGTGAAATCTACCTCTGATGGACGCCTCCTACACGGTGCAAAAGCCCAGGTGACGTTGCCTCCAGCTGTGGAAGAAACGGAGCTGCTCCAGAGGCTTTACAATCTCCTGAAAGCCAAGGGCTTTCAGACACGGATGGAAGGAGTGGCACTCCTCCAAGACCTGTGCAAAAGCAGCCCCCAGCTCATCTCCACTAACATTGTCCAGGTGTGTAGGGCATCTTCATTGTTCCTTTCCTTTAGCTCCTTTCCTAAGCCTGTAGCAGTAAAGTTAATTCAGTGTGTCTTGACACTCCATTCTGGCTGTTTGGGACACGCTGGTCCCTCTTACTCAGGCAAATTTAATTCAGGTCCAGGCTTCAGGACAAGTTATTTCAGTCCAGCTGTATTTGTCTGGCAGATGCCTATTGATGCTGTTCATCACCAGATGATGACACAATTTTCTGCTGGTCTAACTGCTGCTCTCTCGTATTCCCAGTTGGGTTAAGTGCAGGGAATGCAGCCACTGAAAGCATGACAATTATTCTCTAGACCAAAAATGGATTTGCATAGGAAGAGAAGTATCAGGCTAGGTTGGTTTAAACCCATTTTTTAAAAAAGAATACTTCTATATAGTCCATCTTGTCTTGTACAGGCACAACTCTGGCTACTCATTTGCATCCTTGTTCCTATTCCTCTTGGTAAAGACAGTGCTCACCCTTCTTTGGAGAAGGAGGAAAACAGCTAAGGACACATCTCTGCCTTCTCCTCCCAGTAGCTGCTTTTCCCCCTTTTCCAGGAAAAGGTGCCTGATAATGGGGCTGTCAAGGGACTGAACCTGCTCTAATGAGAGCTGTAGAGCAGATTGAATTTCAGAAGTCTACCTGTTACTTAGAGAGATGGTCTGGATCCTGGAAGAGTTGATCAGAGCCCTGCACTTCTCCAGACCCTGGTTCTGAGACAAACAAAAGAAAACTTAGATCTCCTCCAGCCATAGTTTTGGCAAAATCATCATTGCCCTCAGTACTTGAGGAAACTGTGTAGAAAACCAGACATTGTAAACATCTGCTTCCATACTTCTAAAGCAAACGTAGTCTTTTGCATTAATAAATGGAATTGATTTAATGATTTATAGATGGAGAGAAATACCATAGGAACGATTCTGTCCCCAACCAAACCTCTTAAAAACAGAAGAAAATCTTTCAACCAGCATGAGGTTGCGCCACCATTCCAGTGAGTGGCCCGCAGGAAAACAGTGACATTGTGCAAACAAGTGCTGACCTGACAGAAAGGATCACTTTCATCTTTTACATTGCTAACTGCTACATCCACTCTTCAAACAAGGGCATTTTAATCCAGCTTTCATGTTGTTTGTTCTCTTCACAGATTTTTGATTATTTTGTCCTGAGAATATCTGACAGCCACAAAAAAGTGAAGCAGAAGGCGCTGGACGTGCTGGCTGAAATCACAGGGATCCTGAAAGATGCCTTGAACCCGGTGATCATTGGTTTGGTGGAAGGAATAACAAAGAGCCTGAACTCAAAGGATCCCAGGGTTCGTGCCGCAGTTGTGAAAGCACTGGACGAATCCATTGCTCATTTAGGTAAGGCTGAGCCCCGGCATGGACTCTCCTCAACTGCATCTCTGTCTCTCCGACACAAGAGAATGCTGAGTGCCTTGATAGCTGCTGTTGACTGTGGAACGCTCCAGCTGACACCCACCAGAAGCTCTGGAGGTGCAGCCCTTATGCACCAGTCTCCCAACAGACTTGAATGTGATCAGCATTTCCCAAAAGTCCCAGGAGCCCTTGGCTCTGCGCTGTTTGTCTGAAGAGCGAGTCCCGGACTACAGCTTTGCTACAATTCAGAGGCAAAAGGGGTTTTTGAGTTTGCTTGGGCCCCGTTTGACTTCCCAAATGAATAGCTTTGCTGTTGGCATGAAGGGACACTGACCCATCAGAGCTTCTGCAGAGCAGCCACCTGGAAGGCTCTGCATTGTAGGCATTAGCTGCCTATTTTCCACTTTTCTTCTTTGTCTTCTATTTCAGAGGGGAACTTAAGATTCACCAAGTTCATTTCTTTATAACAAAGAGGTGTAAACCCAGCCTTGTTCCACATGTTGTTTTGCATGGAGCAAGACGGCTAGAGTGAATAACTATATAGGCAAGGGCTGCTCTAAATTCCTTTGCCATGCAGATTTATGTCAGCTCTGAAAATGATGCACTGGGGAAATATGCCTGGAAAAAAAAGTGTTGAAGAGGCAGCTCTTGAAAGGGAGTTTCTACTTTCTCTTCCTCAGCTGCTCTGTGAACTCAGGAACTGCCTGACTCAGTGCCTTTCTGTGTCCCAAGGATGGGGTCCTTCCTTTTTGCTCTGGGATGCAAAACCTTTTCACTGCTTACATGTGACTGAACTCTTGAGGTCCCTGATGAGAAATGTGTGAACATAGCTCCTGGTACAGCAGACAAGTTTGAATTTACAAATGTGAAAGGAGAGCTTTTCTTTTGGAATTTAAAGCCCTGCCAAGTAGGCTGGAAGGAAAGAAGAAAAGGATTCAAAAGTCAGCAGAAATGTACTTTAGTTTATAAAATGGGGTTGCCCCTGCCCTTTCCCTCCCCACTGTCCTTCCTGCTATGACCTCAGAAGAGTGAGCAGAACCATGTGTTTCACTTGTAGATAAAGTATCCCTGCTGAAAGAGTTCAGCTACCAATGGAGCCAACTGAGTGGCCAAGCTCTGCTGGATGTCGCGGAGCGTATCACAGGTACGGCCTCCCCTTGGAAGCCAAGAGGTCTTCCCAGGGAGCATTTACAGGGAATGCCTGGGATCAGAGAGCAGAGTAGCTCCTCCACATCAGGAGGTGCTGAGCTTGTCCCTCCTGCCCAATGCCCAGGGCAGGTGTCTCTGGCAGGTTTTCCCTGGCTGCTGCAGAGCTGTGCAGCATCTGAGATGGGGGCGGCGCTGGGCCTGGGGGCTGAGCTCTCACTGGGGCAGCTCAGAACCACCTCCAGGATAGGAAGGGGCTAAAAATACCCCAGCTGGCTCCTCTCCTGGAAGCTCAGGGACATCTGTGATCTTTCAGGGAAAACTGTGTCAAATGCTGTTTCAGGGGATCAGTATGTTTTGTCCTCACAGAATTCTTGTTTTTCTCTTGGAAAGTTTTGAGGCTGAACCGGGCAGAGCCCGGGGGTCACAGCTTAGGTCAAAAGTCAACAGACATATTAGAGGCATGGATTTAGTGCAAGGCAGCCTTTGGGGGCACAGGGGCAGAGGCAAAGGGCTGAGGCTCCCTGGCTGTGCTGTCCAAGTGGCACTGGACTGAGCATTTCAGGCTGTGCAAACAGGGTCTTCCTGTGTCAGAACTGTCCAAAATGCTACAAAGGCAGCTGATAATTGATTCCTCAGAGGAGCTTGCTATACCAGCAATAGGCAAGGAATGGAAAAACGATAATCTCAATATAGAGAAGACGATTGATAGCCTTGCTTTAGCTGGGTTAATGGCACTGCTAATCATGCCAACATCTTTAAACGCAAGGTTTAATACACTTTGTGTCTTCATTAGGAATCTCAAAAGGGCATGTGCAGTGATTGGGAATGTCAAAGGCCCTTTAAAGAGCATTTGAATAAAGTAGATCTCCAGCAATAGGGAATTTAGTTTGGCAGTTATTTTGATCTCCTTTTCAATTTAAGGAGTTAACCATAAATCAGGACTAGTTTAGAAAAAGCAGATGTTCTCTCTGAGATTTAGTAGGAACAGACAGCTGTTCCTCACCTTCAGTACTCACTGATGTCTTCAATTACATTTAAACTCAAATGAATTCCCATTTTAAAGTGGGTACCATCACCCTTTTCCTGCTTAGTAGAATTGGGTTTGGGTACTTTCAGGAGCTGTTTCAATGTTGATGACTGCTGGTGGATTAACAGCATAGAGAAAATGAAGTCTCTTCCGCCAGAGAATAAGAAATGGCTACTAGATAACATTTTGCCTGATCAGAAAATAAGAATGGTCTCCAGAGCATATCAGGTTTTGATCTCTCAGCCCAATCTGCCATGCAAGGAGCCTGTTGGTAGTAAATTTTTGTCTGTGTTTGATATAGTTGAGTTTAGAAAATGAGCAGAGAGCAGATTTCAGAGACAATATGAGAAAACACTTGTGGTTTTGTTACATTTCAGTCCCCTGTGTAGCGTTTTTCTCTCTCTGTGTCCCTATTTCAGTGTGCATTTTTAAGAAAAAATGCCATTAACATTGGGAGGGGAAATGGCATTAAAATGTCATTTTAAAATGTGGAGATGCTGAAATGCCCCGTCGGTGGGGTCTGGGTAATTATCTAAGACACCCTGAGGTTTGAAAAAGGTCTTTGTTGGAAGCCACAAAAGCATTCTGCCAAAGACGTTTCTAATCCAACCGTCAAGCAGCAGCCATCTCTGGTGGGCTGGAGCTTTGAAGTGTGTTCTAATACTGCCCTTTGCTGTGTGCCACTGAGCAAAGGGAAGAGCCAGATCTGGCACTTGACATCAAAGTTACAATAATGGAATCATCCCTTTTATTAGAAATCTCTCCATTTCCTCTCTACGGTGCATTTCCAAATCTTCAGTGTGGGTTTAGACAACTTCTTAATGGAAATAAAAGGCAGTTTGGCATTTCATTCATTGTTCATGCAGAAAGAGATTGTGAAATAATGTAGTAAAGGTACGAAGTCTGCCACAGGGACAAGGCTGTGGTTGGAGAAATTAGTCCTGAGGGGTTGGTGGTTCTGTTTCAAGGATGATCAGCCGCTTTGCCCATTTCTGGATCACGGGGCTCTGTGTGCTATTTTGCTGATCTTAGCCAGGGAGGCTTCCAAGAAGCAAAAGCAGAGGTAGATCCTTGTTTGCATTGAGGCTGGTGGGTAAGAAGCTGTGCCTCTCTCCCGGCAGTGCTTGTGGAGTGGGTTTATGCCAGGAGCCCTGAAGTCGTCGAGCAAGACGCCCTGCCCGTGCTCTGGTCCTTCCTGGAGAACAAGGCGCTGCCTGTCCGAAGCGCCAACGTCCGCACGGTGGCCACCAAGCTTGCCCTGGCCCTCTACGAGGTGATGGGCACCAAACTGAAGAAGTGTGCTGCCAGCAAGCCTCCACACGTGCAGGAAAACCTGTCCAAAATTTTGGGCTGGTGAAGGTGAGATGTTCTCCAGAGAGATGACCAAGTGCTGAGTTGGACACCTCCAGATTTGCCTTTTTAGCTGTGCCAAAAATGACAACATACTAAGGAAGGGTGTGCATCTGCCCCCGCTCTCTCCATTGCCCATCCTAGTCATGGGGCCTGAAACAACTCCAGACTGAGGACAAGGGGGAGGCTGAGCATGGCTCAGCCTCACACAGAGGTGAGGGGGGAGCTGGGCCGCTCTCTGGTGGGAGGAAGGGTCCTGTGGCAGCCCAGAGAGCCTGTGCACATTGCCAGGGAACAGCTGTGCCCTGCATGTGCCCCTGCAATGAGCTGTGCTCTGCCAGAGCCCCTGGAGCTGTAGGGCTGCTCAGCCGTGGGGCAGGGAGAGGAGCAGGAGGGTGCATGTGCAGCTGAGCCATTCCTGGGAAGCACAGGGCTCTGGGCTCCTGCTGTCCCAGGGCAGCCCAGAGGCCAGGCTGTTCCTGTGGCAGCCCTGTGCAAGTGGGTCAGGGCTTTCCCCTGGCCTGCCTCAAGTGTCTGCTGGCAGGAGCACGTTTCCCTGTGCAGCTGTTTAGAAATTGGCAGGAAATGTGTCCCATGAAATACAGAGCTCCAGATGCTTTAGGTTTGCATTGCAGCCTCTGTTAAACTTTGTGTCTCCATTTTGCAGATCTGACTGGTCACAGTCATACTGAGGAGTTTTCTCTGGACACTTCCAATGTTCTCTTACCCACAAAGTCCTTGTCTCCTGTCCAGAAGAAATCTCTTTCCTCCAAGCTCAGGAAGAAGCTGTTGCCTGCCTGAAGAGTGTTTAAAGAATAGGATTTATGCTTTAGTCTTCATAGCTACAGATGTACATATGTTCTGATCTTTAGATGTAGTTTTGAATAAATGTGTTTTGATTGTATCTTGAAATTTTGATTACATATTTTTAATTGTATATATTTTATTTTAATGACAAAAAAAGCAAATAAATGAATAAAATTTAAATAAAGCAAGAGGAGAATGTGAGACCAGGACCTGCTAGCGTAGAGATTTTGGGAGTGCAGCTCACTCGATGTGCCAGTGTCTCACCACATCCTTTCCTGTTGGAACTCAAAATGTCCCTCAGACATTTTTGGAGGTTCCAGGTCCAGGTCAGAAGCATTTGAGACCCTGGCAGGCAGCTGGAAACAGCTGTGATTTTGAGTTTGAGCCATGGAATGATTTACCAACTTTGCAGGTGGAACAAGAAGTCACAAAAGTTTAGATATTATAGTAGAAGTAGTTACAAAGTAGAGGGAAGAATTTTTGAGTGCTGTACAGGGGCGTCTTAACACCTGTACAGGGTTTTTTTTATTTTGCACATGGGGTTCAGAAGTTTTAAGATGGAGGAATGTAGGCCGGTCCTGTTTCTTCTCTTTCTTCTTCCTTACCTCCATGTTCTTGATGATGTTGGCACTCACAGATTGGTTTAGAGCAGAAAAGCACCATTTAATATAGGTAGTAGGTATTGGGGAAAAACTGTAAACATGTAACACGTAATGTATCATATAAAAGATAGCAGCAGCCCTGGGCGGGGGAGAAAAGAAGAACACACCAGGCAGAGAGGGTGTCAGGGGTGTGTGTGCCTCTGCCTGAGCTGCTGACCAAACCGCAGTAGCCAGAGAAGACAATCTTTTAGATAGCTTACAATAAACTGCCTTGAGACCGAACAACAAGAGGCTGCAGAGTTTTCTTTGGAAGCACAGCTTGGAGGAGAGACTTTTCCACCACACGGAACCCCTGAACCAGGCGGGGTTCTGACACCTGGCATCCCTGGGTGGGCAAACAAAAAGGACAAGAAGCCGAAACATCAAACAACCTCCAACCTTCATCAGCAGAAAAAAAAAGCACACACGCTCTCCGCAGACTCCAGGAAGAGAGGGAGCGGAAAGCTCAAGACAAAACAACCTGACCTTCACCAAGATAACTCATCTCGGGGACTTCCCAGAGAGGAGAAGACCCAAAAGCGCACCTGGGATCTCTCACATGTGACCTGCTGGACAGTGAACAGTGTCATCTCCGGACTGACCTCAGGCTGACTCAGCTTTTGGTGAGAAAATTCAAAATTAAGAACATGGGTGGGGAATTATCCCAAGAGGAAACCCAAATTGTATCTGCCCTACAGGGCATCATCTCTGCCCATGTGGTAGAGATCGCTCAAAAGGAGCTGAAAGCTTTGTTATTGTGGGTGCAGTGTAATTTTCCGCACACAGACCCAAATCTGTTGTTTGAGCCAAATTTTTGGCAGGAAATTAATAAGCAACTATATCTTTAAGCTATAAAAAAAGATAAGCTTGCTGCAAAACTTTTACCTTCAGCGAGGACAGTTTTAGAGTCAGTTTCACAATGTGGCAGTTTAAACCAGGCAGCTAAGGCTCCTGGGGGAAAACGGGGGGGGACAGTCCAGCCAGCAGGTCGGGACAGCCCCTCTCACCACAGACACAGGGCAGGCAGGATTGCTTCCCGTGGAGAATCAGGGAGATGATACCCCCTCGCGTCCCGTGTCCCCGGGCTCCCACTGTTCCTCAGACTCCCGGAATCCCTAAGCTCCTCCGAAGCAAAAACTCCCCAGACGGAGACAAACAAGCCAGGCACAGCCGCGGCCCTCGGCGGGGGAAGGGCATTGCCCGAGTCCGAACCCGCGGTGGTGGAGCGGCGGCTCCGGCGGCGGCTCCGGCGGGGGATGGTGCGAACGTGAGTGCAGAGCAGAGGGAAGAGGGAGAGGAGAGCGCTCTCGGATCTGCGCAGGCGGAGAGTTCAAAACAGCCGCGCAGAAAGCGAAAGCGAGGAGAGCGGCGGGGCGGGACGGACCGGGGCGGGAGCGGGGGGTGCGAGCGCGGCGGTTTTACGTCCGCAGCGCCCGGGGACACGTTCGGTGTCGAGAATCCGTGAGGCCGCAGAGGCGCCGCCCAAAAGGCACGGGAGAGCAGCTCCCTGACCGCGGCAGCTGAGTCTGCCGGGGGAGCGGCACAGGGACAGCGGGACGCTGCCCTCGCTGCAGCTCTGGCGGCGGGCACGCGTGCGATGGTAGAGCAGATCCCGAAAGCCGTGAGGAGAGGGGATTTTTCGCATCTCGAATGCGCGGCACAGGCGCAGGCGGGGCTGAGCCGGCACACGCGGGCTGCGGGTGCTGGCACAGAGCCAGGAGAGGGGCAAAGCGAGGCAGAAACATCAGGGCCGGAATGGGATCAGGAGGGAGAGGACGTCAGTTTCGGGGGGGACGACAGTGGCTCTGACTCAGAGGCAGTGCGGGGTGGAGCAAGGCGAAAGCGCGGCCGGGGTCGGAGCAGAGGCGTCCACACCCCCGTGATGACGCAGGCAGGGACGGGCCGTGACCAGGATGTAAACATCCCTCAGGGCACGGTCCCGTTGCAGTTCCCATGGCAAGAGCTAGCCCAAGCCCACAGCCAATCCCTGTCAACTTCAGACATTGGCAGAATAGAACAGTTATTACAACAAGAGTCAGTTTCACAGACCGCAGGGATTGCAAACGTGAATCAATTGTTGGGAGAAATGCTCAAAAGTTTATCAGGAATTACGGCGGGGTTTGCAAATGTGAATCGATTGTCAGAAGAGATGCTCAAATGTTTATCGGAAGCACAAATTGAGGAGCAAAGTGCAGTCCCGGCCTCAGTTGGTCAGGCGGCAGCGCCATCTAGTGGCGGAACCACAACATTGCAACAGGTTTTACAGGACTCGGCCAGCCAAGTCACTGCGCCACCCAGTGGTGGGACTGTAACATTGCAGCACTTTTTTCCAGTTTCTTGTAAGAAAAAATCCAGGGTGAAAAAAGCTGCATCTGCACGACAGCAGGAACCTCCGCTGACCCCAGAAGAGTGCGGGACTCAGGACACTTCTTCTGAGGCACAACACCAGGATGATACAATACACATCACTGCTTCGGAGGGTGTCCCAGCTTGGACAATTCCAAAATCAAGGTCTGCCAAAGTTTCGGGGCAGGGAGAGTCAATTTTAATATCAAAAGGGGTTGTTGAGTTTCTTTTACAGTATTTAAGCACAGCCTTGGAGTCGCAACCAGAACTGTTGGTTCATCTTCCAAAAATTTTCCAAATAACGCAGGGCAGCCATGTGTTCACCTCGACGGCAGATGCTCCATTTTTCTCCAGAGGCACCCAGCCTTCATCTTCGCAGATGCCACAGATGCCGTTGGTATCGGTGAGTGCTGCTTCACCAAAGCTGCAGTCACAACAGATGACTCCACTCTACAGGCAAGTACCCACAAAATTTCCAGCTTAGCCGGGTGTGAAAGTGGACTGGCAGGACATTTGAGCAGAATTGGAACAGGAGAAAGGTTTATTGCAGGGCACAGGAAACACAATGATGCCAGTGAACTATGATGCTCAGGGCCAAAACCAAAGGTGGGAATGCCTGGATCGTGCTGCAATCAAAAATTTAGCTAAAGCCATTCGGGACAACAGGTTGTCATCACCATATTTCAAAAAAATGTTGAAAAGCGTTTTCGGCGGGTTTGATTTAACACCATATGATCTTAAATATCTCGAAGCATCAGTTCTTACAGACACCCAAGCTCTCATTTGGCAGAAGGCGTGGAGGAGATCCCTGGAGGAGCTGAGAACCAGATACCAAGGCGGGCCAAACGCGAACCTCACCATGGTGCAGCTTGCCAGTGATCCTCCTGAGGACGATCCAACTCAACAGGTGGTGAGGCTTCTGCGGCACGTGCTCAGCGACATCAAAGAGGCGGCACGGAGAGCAATTCTTCAGATTGCTCCAGCGGGGGTCCAGGACAACATCTACACCAAGATCAAGCAGGGTTCTTCAGAGCCATTTTCCTCGTTCGTGGATCGTCTTTCCCAGGCAGTGGAGCGACAAGTGACCGAGGAGGGGGCGAAACCACATCTGACCAAAAGCCTCGCGTTCTCCAATGCCAACCCGGAATGCAGAGGAATCATCAGCATGATGCCACACCAGGCCACCTTGGCAGACGTGATCGAGGCGTGCAGCAAGGTGGGGACACCACAACATGTTGCTTCCATCATGGAGGAGCATTTGGGGGACCGAATTGAGAAGCGCGTGAAGGAAGCTCTTGCAAATTACACAAAGAGCAACACCAGTGCAGAAAGGCAGTGCTTTGGGTGTGGGGCACAAGGACATATTAAAAGAAACTGCCCACAACTTGCAAAGCCCAACAAGCCACCAGACCTCTGTCCTCGATGCAGGAGAGGGAGAGCTCTCGCGAGTGAGTGTCACTCACAGACAGATGTGGATGGAAAACCTCTTCCGGTTCCGGGAAATGGGAAAAGGAGCGTGAATCATCACCAGCGCACTCCAACACAAATCCTGGCAGTGACACAAAACCAACAGGGACAATCCTCGGGGAGCAACAAACAGAACCCCTCAGCAGAGCAATCTCCAAAATCCCCAGCGACCCAGACTTGGTACCACCCGGATTCCAATGCATCCTGGCAACCTCCAAATTGACGTATTTTTTGGACAATAGCCATGCAGTGATACCCACGGGTGTCACAGGGACTTCTTGGAAAAGGCAAGATTTTTTAATAATGGCCAGGGACAGAAGCAGCATTCTGGACTTGTTGTTTATCCATCTTTGATTTCAGCAAACCATAATGAGGAGCTGATGGTCACAGCAAAAGCCTTTCGACCACCTCTGACAATTCCACAAAATACACCAATTGCTCGAGCCATGGCTTTGCCATCTCACCCAGAAAGGCAAGTCATGCCAGTGTTCAACAAACGGGACTCTTTTTCTGGTGATCAAGCAGAAGTGCATGCTTCTTGGGTGAAACATTTGAGCCGAGATCGACCCATCATTACCTGTCAGTTGACTTGTAATGAAAAAACAATTGCCATCACAGGAATGCTAGACACAGGAGCAGATGT